GGCATTCAATTTTTAATATTAATAAAATTGCTGGAATCAGGCTTCTCTGAAGGCTTGCCAAGGTAGCGTTCCCTCTTTGGTGGGAACTAAGGGTCCTCCCCCCTTGGAGTTGACCCCCCTAAAGTCTACTTTGACTTCAATATATTGCTGAATAATGTGTGCAGATCCCGGTAAGGTGGCCTTTTGCAGCTGACCGGTGGGGATTTTGTCAGCACCAATTGTTTTCAAGTGCAGGCCACGGTCTCTAGGCACTGCAGCCAGTGTGCCGATCACCACTGGGACCAACTTGACTTGAGCCATTATTATTATTATTATTATTATTATTATTATTATTATTATTAGAAACACAACAAGGTGAGTCCACCGCAAACAAGGTCACTCTGCTGGCTGCTGTATTGGATCACATGTCGGACAACTTCCCAAGTGTCTAGGACTGTGTGATGTATCGGCAAAGAATGTGTGCAGATCCAAATAGGGTGGTCTTTTGCATCTGACAGGTGGTGATTTTGTCAGTGCTGATTGTTATTAAGTGCAGACCAAGGTCTCTGAGCACTGCACCCACTGTGCCAATCATCATCATCATCATCTAGGACTATGTGATGTAGCAGCGAATAATGTGTGCACATCCCAGTTGGGTGGCCTTTTGCAGCTGACAGGTGGGGATTTTGTCAGTGCCTATTGTTTTTAAGTGCAGGCCACGGTCTCTAGGCACTGCATCCAGTGTGCCGATCAACTTGACTTGAGCCATTATTATTATTACTATTATTATTATTATTATTGTATTGTCGAAGGCTTTCATGGCTGGAATCACTAGGTTCTTGTGGGGTTTTTTCGGGCTATATGGCCATGTTCTAGAGGCATTTTCTCCTGACGTTTCGCCTGCATCTATGGCAAGCATCCTCAGAGGTAGTGAGGCCTGTTGGAATTAGGAAAATGGGTTTATATATCTGTGGAATGGCTGGGGTGGACAGGCATGTGGACAATTTTGACGGAGGGGAGGAGACCATGGGGATGAGTGGAATCTGGCTACCAGTCTTAAAAAAACTCTAAAGTTATGGCAGCGAGGCAGCAGAGAGGAAACAACCAGGCACATCTTAACACCTCTCAACAAAAGATTCCTCCAGGCTCAGCCAGGCCTTCAAATGCTAATGAAGGTGGTCAGCTGAAACATTCCCACCTAGCTCCAGCAGAGAAGAGCTCTTTGCCCCACCCTAGCATCCTTTGCCCCACCCTAGTTTCGGACTGAAATGTTATCTCTACGCGGATGATGTTCAGATCTGTCACTCCTTTCCACCTGTCACCAAGGAGGCTGTCCAGACCTTGAATCGGTGTTTAGCTGCTGTGTCAGACTGGATGAGAGCTAACAAATTGAAATTGAATCCAGACAAGACAGAGGTCCTACTGGTCAGTCGTAAGGGTCGTAAGGGTCGTAAGGGTTACAGCCTGTACTGGATGGGGTTACACTCCCGCTGAAGTCGCAGGTTCGCAGCTTGGGAGTGATCCTGGACTCATCGCTGAGCCTGGAACCCCAGGTCTCAGCGGTGGCCGGGAGAGCTTTTGCGCAATTAAAACTTGTGCACCAGTTGCGCCCGTACCTCGGGAAGTCTGATCTGGCCACGGTGGTCCACGCTCTTTACATCCCGAATAGACTACTGCAACGCACTCTACGTGGGGTTGCCCTTGAAGACTGTTCGGAAACCAACTGGTCCAAGCGGCAGCCAGATGCTACGGAGCGACATACAGGGCACACCACCCCCCTGTTTGTCCAGCTCCACTGGCTGCCGATTCAGTTCCGAGCACATTCAAGGTGCTGGTTTTGACCTACAAAACCCTTTACGGTTCCGGTCCAGTGTATCTGTCCGAACGTATCTCCCTCTACGTCCCACCTCGGATCTGAGATCATCTGGGGGGGCCCTGCTCTCGACCCCACCGCTATCACAAGTGAGGCTGGTGGGGACGAGGAGCAGGGCCTTCTCAGTGGTGGCCCCTCACCTGTGGAACTCACTCCCGGGGGAAATCAGGGCTTCAACTTCCCTCCTTGCCTTCAGGAGGAAGGTAAAGACGTGGCTCTGGGACCAGGCCTTTGGGCACCCTGACAATTAGACATGGAACCAGAATGATAGGACCAACAATGTGTGGAAAGTAGAACCTAACTATGAGTCGGTTAAACGCTGACCAGCAATGAGGTTTGTATTGCTTTTATTGTTTTAATTGTTTTTACGGGTTTATGGCTATTCCTGCCGATAATATTGATTGTTTACGTTAATTGTTATCAGTGTTATAATTATTGTTGTTATTGATGTTATGTTTTTGATGTTATGTTTTTGTAATACAGGCATCGAATTGTGCCTTGTTTGTGTAAGCCGCCCTGAGTCCCCCCGGGTGAGAAGCAACCGTATAAGCAACCGTAATAAATAATAAATAAATAGCCATTCCGAAAAAACCCACAAGAACCTTCTTATTATTATTATTATTATTGTTATTATTATTATTATTATTATTATTATTATTATTATGAGAAACACAACAAGGTGAGTCCACAGCAAACAAGGTCACTCTCCCGGCTGCTGTGTTGGCTCAAGCGCCTCTGCCCCTAGTGGAGTGTGGTGGAGGCTCCTTCCTCCTTTGGAGGCTTTGAAGCAGAGGAGGAGGATGGCCATCTGCCGGGGGTGCTTTGAATGCTCCTTGGCGGAAGGAAGGGGGTGGCCCCGGATGACCCCTCCTGCGGGGGGGGGGGAGTGAAGAATACTACTCCGAGGAGACCATAGACCCGGACTCTTCTTCCCTAGAGAGGCACTGCATCCAGGACGGCCCTCTGGCGGGGCGAGGAGGCAGCGCAGGGCGGGGCGGGGCTTCGGGGGCGGAGTGGGCGTGGCCTCGGCAAGCGTTGTTTGGAAGCCGCCGCGGTCCAACCGCTCTCTCCTCCTCCTCTCGCTCCCTCTGGCGATGGCGCCCCCTTTGGTGGCGGCGCTGATCCGCCACCGCGACCTTTTGACCCTGCTGGGCGCCCCGCTGGTCTTCCTGCCGCTGCCTCTCGCTCTGCCCAGCAAGGTAGGGAGGGGCGGGGCTGGCGGGGAGGCCTTTGGCGCCCCCTCCCGGCCGGAGGAGTCTCACGCATGCAATGGTCCTCCTCCTCCCTCTGGACTCAAACCAGGACACCCCAGACCCCCCAATGTCAACACTGGTGGAGTTTCAGGGGAGATAGACATTTGGGAGTCATAGTTCACCTACAATCAAAGCGCATTCTGAACTCCACCAGTGATGGAACTGAACCAGTCTTGACACACAGAACTCCCAGGACCAACAGAAAATACTGGAAGGGTTTGGTGGGCATTGACCTTGAGTTTTGGAGTTGTAGTTCACCTACATCTAGAGAGCACTGTGGACTCAAACAAGGATGAATCTGGACACTCATTACCCCCAAATGTGAACACTGGTGGAGTTTGGGGGACGATAGACCTTGACATTTGGGATTTATAGTTCACCTACAATCGAAGCGCATTCTGAACCCCTCCAACGATAGAACTGGGCCAAAATTCCCACACAGAGACCCCCGTGACCGACAGGGATTTCGGAGGAAGTTATTTATTTATTATTTATTTACTTTATTTCTATGCCGCTTTTCTCAGCCCTCAGGCGACTCAAAGCGGTGAACAACATCAGCACAAAACATCAGAAGACAAGTATAGGGCAATTAAAAACAATTATCACATAAATCATTAACATCCGTATAACAATCATGAGCGCCTCAACAGTAAAATCAGAATCCAGTCTCGTCATCCATTATTCCGTATTCCTGTGTTCAATTACACTGTTTAATCAAATGCTTGTTCAAACAGCCAGGTCTTCACTTTCCTCCGGAACGCCAGCAGGGAGGAGGGGGCCGATCTGATATCTGCAGGCAGGGCGTTCCACAGCCGAGGGGCCACCACTGAGAAGGCCCTGTCTCTCGTCCCCACTAAGCGTGCCTGTGAGGCAGGCGGGACCGAGAGCAGGGCCTCCCCGGATGATCTTAGTGTCCTAATCGGTTCATAGTGATTTATAGTGATTTAGGTTAGGGAGATGTAGTTCAAATACCTCTGGAGATCACTGCGGACCCAAACAATGAGGGATCCCCAATAATAATAATATTATACTAAACTTTATGTATGCCCTGCCACCATCTCCCCAATGGGGACTCGGAGCGGCTTACATGGGGCCACGCCCGGACAACATGTTACAGCAATAAAACAACAAACAACAACGACAACATCAAAATTACACTAAAAATACACCCAGATATGGATACTGGTGGATTGGGAGGGGGGAGGGCTGGTTTTGCCATTTGGGAGTAGTAGTTGCTGGAATTTATAGTTCAAAGAGCACTCTGGACACAGCCCACAATGGATCTGCACCAATCTTGGCCCAGGGTTAGGGTGAGCCCAAATGGTGATCCCAGTGAGCGCGGGAGATCTGACACCTACACACGTGTGCCTCCCCCAGGAAGCCAGCTGCGCCTACGTGATCATCCTGATGGCCGTCTTCTGGTGCACGGAAGCCATGCCGCTGGCGGCCACGGCCCTCCTCCCGGTGGTGCTCTTCCCCATGATGGGCATCGTGGAGTCCAAGAAGGTAAGGAAGGCGCTTCTTCTCCCAGGCGGACCCCGATCCCCCCCTCCCTCCCTCCCTCCCTCCCTCCCTTCCTTCCAGCAGGAGGACCTGCACTCTGCACATGTGCCATTCTGGCCATTTCGGCCTCTCCTAACCGCCTCTCCTTGTGCTCCTAGGTGTGCATGCAGTACCTGAAGGACACCAACATGCTCTTTGTCGGAGGGCTGGTCTTGGCGGTGGCCGTGGAGCACTGGAACCTGCACAAGAGGATTGCCTTGAGGGTGCTGCTGCTCTTGGGGGTCAAGCCCGCCTTGTAAGTCCGGTCTGGGTCATTGGGCCTTGCCTGGCGGACGGGCGACCCACGCACGGGTTGCGGGCCCCAACCTCCCCGCCTCCCTCCGCAGGCTGATGCTGGGCTTCATGGGCGTCACGGCCTTCCTCTCCATGTGGATCAGCAACACCGCCACCACCGCCATGATGGTGCCCATCGTCCAGGCCGTCCTGGAGCAGATGAACGAGGCCGAGGCCGAGCAGGACAGGACCGAGACGGGTGAGGAGGAGGAGGAGGGGCGGCAAGGCCCTTCGTCCCGTGGCACCTTTAACCTGCGACGAGGGCAGGAAAACAACACAAGGGGCAAGGACATGGCTGCCCCGTGGGTCCATGGGGTCAAGCAGGGCGCCACCCAGAGGTCGCCTGAGGAATCCTAGAGTTGGAAGAGACCTGGTGGGCCATCCAGTCCACCCCCTTTCTGCCAAGAAGCAGGACAATCGCATCCAAAGCACCCCTGAAAGATGGCCATCTAGCATCTGCTTCAAAGCCTCCAAAGAAGGAGCCTCCATCACTCTGGGGCAGAGAGTTCCACTGCTGAACAGCTCTCACAGCCAGGAAGTTCTTCCTCATGTTCAGATGGAATCTCCTTTCTTGCAGTTTGAAGCCATTGCTCCATTGCGTCCTAGTCTCCAGGGCCACAGAAAACAAGCTTGCTCTTTCCTCCTGATGGCTTCCCCTCCCATCTTGATCCCTGGCCCTCATCCTGTCTCCCCTCAGCCTTCTCTTCTGCAGGCTAAACATGCCCAGCTCATTAAGCCGCTCCTCATAGGGCTTGTTCTCCAGGCCCTTGATCATTTTAGTTGACCTCCTCTGGACACTTTCCAGCTTGTCAACATCTCCCTTCACTTGTGGTGCCCAGAATGGGACACAATATTCCAGGTAAAGTGGTCTAACCAAGGCAGAATAGCGCATGGGGAGCAGGACTTCCCTGGACCTAGGGACTAGGCTCCTCTTGATGCAGGCCAAAATCCGTTGGCTGTTTTAGCTGCCGCATGACATTGTTGGCTCATGTTTAACTTGTTGTCCACAACAGCACCCCAAGATCTTTTCCACACGTACTAGCGGTGCTTCCCCCCAACAGCCTCCCCCCACCCCGCCCACTCACCCACAGACTCCCCTCTTCCGCAGGCATCGGCCCAGAGGGGCCCTCGGAGGCGGAGAAGCAGGCAGCCAGGAAGCGCGCCCGCAAAGGGCTGACCCTCTGCATCTGCTACGCGGCCAGCATCGGCGGGACGGCCACCTTGACCGGGACGGGGCCCAACCTGGTCCTGAAGGGGCAGATGAACCAGTGAGTGGCCCCGCTGCTCCCCGTGGCCCGCTCGGCAGCTAGTCCCCTGCTGTTTCTGCCTTCTCCTCGTTCCTTTCCTCCTTCCTTCCTTCCTTCCTTCCTTCCTTCCTTCCTTCCTTCCTTCCTTCCTTCCTTGTCTTCCCTTTCCTTAATTCAGCCTCCATCTTTCTGCGCAGGTTGTTTCCGCAGAATGACGACATCTTGAACTTTGCCTCCTGGTTCATCTTCTCCTTCCCCAACATGCTGCTGATGCTGGTCCTGGCCTGGCTCTGGCTCCAGATCAGCTTCATGGGAATCAAGTGAGGGGCGAGCTGCTCCCGCATGCATGCGTGGGGGGGGGGAGGGGGGGCGGATGACCAAGGGTCTGGGCTTTGGCCCAACGGAGGCAGGCACCTGGGGCCAGTCAGCACAAACATGGCGGCATTGATTCACCTCTCAATGGGAGCGGCTGATTGTCTGAGCGGACTGTGAGGTCGTGCTCTGCACCCCAGGAGGGTATAGAGGTGTAGTAGTAGTAGTAGTAGCAGCAGCAGCAATACCTGCCAAAGGACAAAGAGGGTGGCCTGGGACTGCTACCTTCCCAAACATGTGAAATACACACATGAAAACCTATTCCTATGAAAGTACAGCAGACACCGGATGTGAGTTCAGCATTCATCGTTAAAACTTGAATGCTGGGTCGGCTTGCCAGGCTAAACCAAACCTGGGCAATTTGTTGCCAAAGGCTTTCATGGCCGGAATCACTGGGTTGCTGTGTGTTTTCTGGGCTGTATGGCCAATCTATTGCAGCATCGTTCTCTCCTGACGTTTTGCCTGCATCTGTGGCAGGCCTCCTCAGGGTTCTGTTGACAATGAGGCAAGTGGAGTGTCGCTCTTCCTGTGGAATAATGTCCAGGGTGGGAGGAAGAACCCTGGTCTCTTTGAAGCAAGTGTGGAGGTTGCAATTAGCAAGCTTGATTAGAGTCGATCAGTGAGGATCTCTGCACAGAGAGAGCCTGGCTGTTGTTGCCTGGGGGAGCCCCAACTTGGGCTATCACAAGCGCCCACCTTCCTCAATGTCTCTCTCTTCAGCTTCCGGAAGACGTGGGGCTGCGGGACCCAGCAGACGGCGTCGGAGCAGGCCGCCCTCCAGATGCTGAGGGAGGAGCACCGCAAGCTGGGCCCAATGTCCTTCGGGGAGAGCAGCGTCCTGGTCCTCTTTGCCGTCCTGGTCCTGCTCTGGTTCACCCGGGATCCCGGCTACGTCCCCGGATGGGGGTCCGCCTTCTTCAACAAGGACAAGGAGTGAGTGCCCCATTGCAGGTAGGAGGGTGGAAGAGTAAAACACACACAACAGCCCTGATGGGTTGGCACGTGAGTTCCTCCTCTCACGGCCTCCTCCTCCTCCTCCTCCTCCAGCTGCGCAACGGGATGGACCGTCTCAAAGGCAAGCAGTCAGTTCCGATGCAAAACACACTGCAGAGTCTTGGTCACATTAGCAGAGATTTCATATCACAGCCTCTGACCTTGAATAAGCACACTTGAGCTCTGCCTACATACAACCAATTACAGGCCTGTTATCAGTATAGATACTCACATGGCGAGGGTGGTGGTGGATGACAGATGCAGAGAGAGCCTGGCAAAGTATCTAAACAGGCAGAGAGCGAGCACATGGCCAGAGGAAGTGCGCAAAGACGCCTCTCCCACTTCTCCCTCCGGGGGTCACGGGAAATGACTCGGGCTGGAGCTACGCTGCCCTATATCCCAGGATGTGAACCCAGATTATCTCCTTATCCCAGATTATCTGGCAGTGTTGACTCAGATAACCCAGTTCAACTAAGGGGCCTCGGCTGCCCCTCCAGGATCACGCCTCCACCTTCAGTGGACTGTGCACACATGGGCATTAGAACTGTATTTTTCCCACACGGGAGGTGCCTGCAATGCATTCGGCTGGAAAGTGGCATCTCTCCACCTGGCATCCCCGTCACCTCGAGGGGGGAAGGTGGAGCGAGTGCCCTTTGTCATCGCCTCGAGGGGGGAAAGCGTTGGTGGACGCGGCCTCAGGGCTCGCTCTCTCTCTCTCGCAGGTACGTGACGGACGCCACCGTGGCCATCTTCATGGCCCTGTTGCTCTTCGTCATCCCGGCCACCTGGCCCCACTGCAGCAACCCCTGCGTCCGGAGCAGCGTCGACTCGGAGGAAGGAGGAGGAAAAGGCACGTTTCCGATCCATGGGGGAGGCCTTTGGAAGGGAGTAACACGCACTATCCCTGAAAGGGACCGGGAACGTGGGCGCCCCTTCATGTTCCTCCTCGGGTGCTTTTCTGGGGTCCACGGGGGTCCCCGCCTTGCCTGCCCTGACCCCCGTCTCGGCCCCCCTGCAGCTCTGACGAAGCCCCCGGGCCCGCTGATGGAGTGGGACGTGATCCAGAAGAAGCTGCCTTGGAGCATCGTGCTGCTCTTGGGAGGAGGCTTCGCTTTGGCCAACGGGAGCGAGGTAGGAGCCGCGCCAGGTCCGCACGCCCCTCTCCCTCCCAGTCACTGGGCCTTCCCATGGGCCAGTGTGGGCCTCCACTGCTGAACTGGGCCCAACTGGTGCGCCCAGGAGGCCCCGTGCCAAATGCATTCAGAGAGAGCTCCTTGGGGTCCTTCCTGACCTGGGGGCCACTCCGTGCTCTTGGCTGGGCCTTCCCGCTCGGCTCATTGGGAAGAACAGAGTCCTGCCTCCTGCTGCTGCTGCTGCCGCCACCGCCATCACGGCTGCTCCCGGCGCCCACAAACAAGGAGGATGGCCTTCCCTTCCTGCTGCAAGCGGATTCAGCATCGTGTCCATTCCCTGCACGGGGTGTGTCATTCTGTGTCTTCATCCTCCGCCTTTTTGCCAGGTGTCCGGCCTGTCCAAGTGGCTGGGGACCCAGATGTCCCCCCTGCGAAACGTCCCCTCCTGGGCCATCGCCACCATCACCTCCGTCTTCATCGCCGTCTTCACAGAATGCACCAGCAACGTGGCCACGGCCACCCTCTTCCTCCCCGTCTTTGCGTCCCTGGTGAGGCCTCGTCCGGTGGGCTTCCTCCCTCGGGCGTCAGCGGGGGGGGGAGGGGGCGTTTTAGGGGTGCCGGCACTCACGCTTCACGGCCGGGCCTGTCCGCTTCCTCCCGCCCAGTCGTACTCCATCAAGGTGAACCCGCTCTACGTCATGCTCCCCTGCACGCTGAGCTGCTCCTTCGCCTTCATGCTCCCCGTGGCCACGCCGCCCAACGCCATCGTCTTCTCCTACGGACACATCCGCGTCGCCGACATGGTAAGGCGCGCCCCCCTTGTCCCCGCTCCCAACCCTTTTCCCGCTCCCAACCCTTTTCCCGCTCCCAACCCTTTTCCCGCTCCCAACCCTTTTCGTGATCCACGACCACCGGCGTTTTTAAGAAGGTGAAATGGAAATACATTGAAAAGAGGATTCAGGCCAAGGTTCCCGAGAGAGAAACATCCGACTTAGAAACAACTCCTTGTTAAGAACTGGGCTAAGGCAACAGGAAATTGGGACATTCTCCTTCCTTCCCTTCTTTTCCTCCTTCTCTCCTCCTTGGGGTCAAACACTTCTCCTCCTCCTCCTTGGGGTCAAATATTCCTTTTTCTCCTTCTCCTTGGGAGGAAACACTTCTTCTCCTTCCCCTTCTCCTCCTTTCCCTTCTCTCCTTCCTCTTCTCCTTGGGGTCAAACACTCCTCCTTCTCCTTGGGGTCAAATACGCCTTTTTCTCCTTCTCCTTCTTCTCTTTGGGAGGAAACACTTCTTCTCCTTCCCTTTCCCCTCTTTTTACTTCTCTCCTTCCTCTTCTCCTTGGGGTTAAACACTTCTCCTCCTCCTCCTCGGGGTCAAATACTCCTTTTTCTCCTCCTTCTCCTTAGGATCAAACACTTCTCCTTTCCCTTCTCCTCCTTTTCCTTCTTCCTCTTCTCTTTGGGGTCAAACACTCCTCCTTCTCCTTGGAGGTCAAATACTCCTTTTTCTCCTCCTTCTCCTTGGGATCAAACACTTCTCCTTCCCCTTCTCCTCCTTTCTCTTCTCCTTGGGGTCAAACACTCCTCCTTCTCCTTGGGGGTCGAATACTCCTTTTTCTCCTCCTCCTTCTCCTCCTCGGGATCAAACACTTCCCCTTCCCCTTCTCCTCCTTTTCCTTCTCTCCTTCCTCTTCTCCTTGGGGTCAAACACTCCTTCTTTTCTCCTCCTCTTCCTCAGGAGGATAAAAAAACCCTTCTTCTTCTTCTTCTCTTTCTCCTCCTCCAGGCAAAAACTGGGATCATGATGAACGTCATCGGCATCGCGTGCACCACGGTGGCCATCAACACCTGGGGCCGATCCATGTTCAACCTGGACACCTTCCCCCCCTGGGCCAACTTCACTCTCTAGGAATGAAGGCCGGGGCGCTGGGACCGCGAGGGCGGCCATTGCGCACGGGCAGGGGTCCGGCCCAGAGGATGCGCCTCGCCTCTGAACCCGGCAAAAGGGGGGGGGGAGTATAGGTCACGTCTAAAAGCGAAGCAAAGAGGGGAAGGGGCTGCTGGAAGGGGATCCCCTTCCCCTCATTTAAAAAATATGGATCGAGCGGCTTCTGCTCTTTGCGAAAGTGACCACCTCTTGTAAAATATTTTTTGGAAAGAGTGTTTGATTCCCTTTGTAAAGAATAAATATTACCTGTGTTGTGACCTTTGGCATCCCTGCCCCGCCGGGCGTGGTCTCCTCTCTCTCTCTCTCTCTCTCTCTCCCCTCGCTGTGTTGCAAGGCGGGCCCCTTGACCAGGTCGCAGGGGGTGCCTTTGGCCACTCCATGCAGTTCCATCTCAAACATCATTACCAACAGATTTTGTTTTCTTAGATAGAGACGTATCAATTTAAGTGGCAATTCCTGCAACTTAATCAACAAATTGTGCAAATAACAAAAGGCAGAACAGTGTCTACACTTGAACTCACCACCCTCCACTTCTATAACAATATCATAATAATACTACTACTAATAATAATAATAATAACTGACAAAGTTTTGGAACACAATACGCCAGGCATCTCAATTGTGGAAAAGAAAAAAGTCTGGATGATTGACGTCGCCATTCCACGCATCAGCCACATTGAGGAAAAACCACAGGAAAAACTCAGCCACTATCAAGACCTCACAATCGAACTGCAAAGGCTCTGATGGCATCAACCAGTCCAGGTGGTCCCAGTGGTCATAATGGGCGCACTGGGAGCCGTGCCAAAAGATCTCACCCGGCATTTGGAAACCATAAACATCGACAAAATCACGCTCTGTCAACTGCAAAAGGCCTCCTGACTTGGATCTGCGCGCATCATTCGGAAATACATCACACACTCCTAGACGCTTGGGAAGGGTTCAACTTGTGATTTTGTGATACCAAATCCAGCCTAGAGATCTCGTTTGCTGTGACATATGGTGCTTTTGTGTCAGTAAAATAATAATAATAACAACTTTATTTTTGTTCTCCGCCACCATCTCCCCGAAGGGACTCGGGGCAGCTTACATATGGCACAAAGTGCCTGAAACTGAGCATAAAATAAACACACAGTGCAATATGATAAAGTAAAACATATAGCCTATAAAACGACAGTTTGAAGACAGTCAGAACAACACCCAATAACCTACGGTGACACCTCTGTATATTTTTTAAAAGGCTGAAAGGCCTTTGAGTTTGTCTTCCTGCCGGCAAGAGACTCCACTGAGGCAGAAAAAGTGAAATGCAAAGATACAGAATGGGGGGGGGGGGGTGACCACCTCACAGCAGTATGTGTGAAAAAGCTTTTGCAGCAGCTAAAACAGCCAATGGGATTTTGGCCTGCATCAATAGGAGAGTAGTGCTGCTCCCCGTGCTCTATTCTGCCTTGGTCAGACCACTTGACCTGGAATCCCACTGTGTCCAATTCTGGGAACCACAACTGAAGGGAGATGCTGACCCTAAGCTGGAATGTTTCCGGAGGAAGGCGACTAAAATGATCAAGGGTCTGGAGAACAAGCCCTATGAGGAGCGACTTAAAGAGCTGGGCATGTTTAGCCTGCAGAGGCTGAGAGGAGACAGGATATGGGGCATATATCAAGATGTGAGGGGAAGTCATAGGGAGGGGGGGCAAGCAAGGATGTGGAGCAATGGATTCAAACTACAGCAGTGGTTCTTAACTTTGACCAGGGCCCACTCTGTCCAGGACCACTCTCCAACATTAGTATCAAAAGGGGTGCGGCTGGTAAGCTCTGCTGAAAGGAGTGAAAAATAAATAAATAAAGAGGAGGGAGGTTCACGGACAGGATTTTCGCTCTCGCTTCCCACCGCTGGGCTGTGGCCCACAGGCTGGGATCTATTGAACCTCAGGAAAGGAGATTCCACCTGAACATGAGGCAGAACTTCCTAACTGTAAGAAGAGCTGCTCAGCAGTGGAACTCTCCCTCTGCCCCGGAGTCTGGTGTATGCTCTCCCCTGTGTGGGTCCTTTGATGGGAACGCAGATTGCCACTCTGGCTGAAGCTCTTTCCACACTCCATGCATTGATGTGGCTTGTGTCCTGTGTGGGTCCATTGATGGGAACGCAGATTGCCACTCTGGCTGAAGCTCTTTCCACATTCCAAGCATTGATATGGCTTCTCCCCCGTGTGGGTCCTTTGATGGGAACGCAGATGTCCACTCTGACCGAAGCTCTTTCCACATTCCATGCACTGATGTCGCTTCTCTCCTGTGTGGGTCCTTTGATGGGCACGCAGATTTCCACTCCGACTGAAGCTCATTCCACATTCTATGCATTGATATGGCTTCTCCCCTGTGTGGGTCCTCTGATGGGAATGCAGAACTGCACTTTCAGTGAAAGTCTTCCCACATTCCACACATTGATATGGCTTCTCCCCTGTGTGGGTCCTTTGATGGGAACGCAAGTGTCCACCACCACTGAAGCTCTTTCCACATTCCATGCATTGATGTGGTTTCTCCCCCGTGTGGGTCCTTTGATGGGAACGAAGCTGTTCACTCCAACTGAAACTCTTTCCACATTCCATGCATTGATACGGCTGCTCCGCTGTGTGGGTCCTTTGATGGAAGAGCAGATCTCTACTCTGACTGAAGCTCTTTCCACATTCAATGCACTGATATGGCTTCTCCCCTGTGTGAATTTGTTGATGTTTAGTAAGGGAACTTCTCCCCATGAAACATTCCCCACAGTCGATACACGTATGTAGCTTCTCCCCTGAATGTGATGTGGAACAGGGATTGATATTTTCCATTGTTTTTTTCTCTTTATGATTCAAATATTATGCCACAAGGTCACAGATATGGACTCCTGCACAACACAAGATTTTCTCTTCTTGGTCTTTGTATTGCCGTAGCCTTCTGGTCTCGTTCCCAAGCCCCTCTTTTAACAGCGCAATCCTCCCTTTCCTCCAAGGTTGTCGCTTGAAATATGTCTTTCTCCCACTTATTCTTTGTTCTTGCCACTGCGGTGAGCCTTCATTTCAGTCCTAAGGCACCCCGAGGGTAAAGCTCTCACAGGGGCTTCTTCACAAGGTCTGTTCAGAGGTTACCTGCTGAATGAATGAGGGGAAAACCAGACGTATTAATGTATTCCTTCCTCTCTCAATATCCAAGATGGTTGCCCTCTCTGTATTTCTCCTCCCAAGATGTCTGACTTCTTAATGAATTCCTTCTCCCAATATGCAAGATAATAATAACAATAATATAATAAACGTTTATTTTTAACCCACCCTCTCTCTCCGAAGGGACTCATTATTATTATATTATTATATAGTTATTTTTGTCATTACCATATTATTGTTTTATGTTATATTATATATTATTGTTTTATGTCATTATATCATTTTATATAACTGTATTATTATTATTATTTTATTTATTTACGGCATTGATGTTCCGCCCTTCTCACCCCGAAAGGGACTCAGAGTGGCTTACAAGATATATATATATACACACAATACGTTATATTATTAGCATAGCACAATATCAGTATTATATATTACTATATTGTACTATACCATTCTATTGTAATATTACATGTAATTATAATATATAATAAATATTAGTATTATATAGTATTACATTATAATATTATAAGCATTATATGTATATTGTTCATTTGTTCAGTCGTCTCCGACTCTTCGTGACCTCCTGGACCAGCCCATGCCAGAGCTCCCTGTCGGCCGTCACCACCCCCAGCTCCTTCAAGGTCAGTCCAGTCACTTCAAGGATGCCATCCATCCACCTTGTATCCCTGGTCGGCCCCTCTTCCTTTTGCCTTCCACCTTCCCCAGCATCATTCCCTTCTCTGGGCTTGGCTGTCTCCTCATGATGTGGCATTCAAAGGACTTCCGCTTTCCCTCTCGTCTCCTTCCCTCCAGTGAGCTTTAGTCGGGCTTTATTTCCTGGAGGATGGACTGGTTGGATCTCCTCGCAGTCCAAGGCACGCTCAGAACTTTCCTCCAGCACCACCGCTCAAAAGCATCTATATATATATATATATATAGGGTCTGGAGAATAACGATATAAAATAATATAATGTACAGATATATACACACACACATTATATTATTTTATATCATTATTGTTATGTTATTAATATATTTATGTTATTTATTACAATATTATTACTATTGTATGTTACTTATTTTATTTTTATGTCCTTTATGATTACTTTAATGGCAATTATGATGCTGATTTCTCATTGCTATGACCTTATAAACAGACAGATCTCCTAAGGCAGGCCTGGGCCCACTTGGGTGTTTTGGACTACAACTCCCACAATTCCTAGCGGCCTCGGGTCCCTTCCTTTTCACCTCCAGCCGCTACGAGGAGTTGTGGGAGTTGAAGTCCTGCACACCCGGAGGGAGGGAGGGAGGGAGGGAGGGGGCCCCGGGCTTGGCCACGCGTGTTCTCAGGGAATGCCAGCCTCCGAATCCGGGCGGCGTTACCTCCTGCTTCCCCTTCCCGCCGCCATTCCTCTTCGGAAGGGAGCGCGGCGCCCGCCACGCTAGGAAGCGGAGGCCTCCCGCTCTCGTTGGACTTCCGCCCGGCCCCAAGATGGCGCCCGAAGGCGGAAGACGAGGCATTTGCCCTTCCTTCCTTCTTCCCTTCGCTCTGGCAGCGGGAGCCAATCAGGAGCCTCCGGGGCGGAGAGAAGGCGGGAGGGAGGGAGGAGCCTTGGCGCTTCGAGACGCGCATGCTCATTGGCCGCCGAGGGGGAGAGTGGGGGCGGGGCCAGACCTGCCTCTCTTTCCCTCCCTCCCTCCCTCCACTGCACATGCGCACTGCTCCCGCTCTGCAGCCAGAAGCGAGTTGAATGTCTGCAAAACACAAACCAAGTTCAAGGCTTGGCCTGAGGCTCAATGTGCTTGGATCAGAAGCTGGTGTGGCTGCGAGGAGGGCCTTCCCTCTGCATTGCAATATTATAATTATTATTATTATTATTATTATTATTATTATTATTATTATTATTATTATTTTATTAAAATTATAAATAATAAATTGTTTATTTTTATTATAGTATTTTTATTTTATTTCACTTGTTATTTTTTATTGTATTTATTATTAATAATGAATTCAGACAGGCAGAGTTTTGGAGCACAACACTCCCGGCCTCACAATCGTGATAAAAAACCAAGTAGGGATCGTGGATGTTGCAATCCCAGGTGAGAGCAGAGAAACAACTGGAAAAGCTGACACGATATGAGGATTTAAAGATCGAACTGCAAAGACTCCGGCACATGCCAGTCAAGGGGGTCCCAGTGGGGATCGGCACTCTGGGTGCAGTGCCTCAAGACCTTGGCCTGCACTTAAACACCATCGGCGCTGACAAAATTATATTGGTTTTACTGTAAGTGCATTGAGAGAAAAAGCATGACAATAATAATAATAATAATAATAATAATAATAGAAATGCTGACGCAATATGAAGATTTAAAGACTGAACTGCAAAGAGTCTGGCAAAAGCCAGTCAAGGGGGTCCCAGTGGTGATGGGCACACTGGGTGCAGTGCCTCAAGACCTTGGCCTGCACTTAAACAAGATCGGTGCTGCAGAAGGCCACCTTACTGGGATCTGCACGCATTATTCGCTGATACATCACACAGTCCTAGGCACTTGGGAAGGGTCTGACGTGTGATCCAATACAACAGCCAGCAGAGCGTCTGCTGTGGACTCATCTTGTTGTGTTGCAAATAATAATAATAATAATAATAATAACAACAACAACAACTTTATTTTTATACTCTGACTCCATCTCCCCGAAGGGCCTTGGGGCAGCATACAAGGGGACATAAGTATCAAAAAACAAGCAACATCAATAAACATAAAATCAGGTGGTCTGTGGTCTGGTCTTCTCCGCACTCGCCTTCCGTAGACTCCACTTTGCGGCCCCGTTCCTGAAGGTTGGCTCTGCACCTTGGGGTGCCAGAGTGCGGCCTGTTCAGCACCTTCCAGGTCGCCCAGTTTAATAATAATAATAATAATAATAATTCCTCACAAACCTGGATTTTCATACATTCCTGGCTTGGGAAACAGCCAGAGGGATTGGCCCAACCTTCCTGTTCCCAGGGGTTATGGTGTTGCGGTTGAAAGGAGAGATACTACCAAGAGCGATCCTTTGTTTGAGGCAGAAGTTTATTTCCAGCAGAGACCCTGGCATGGAATCTCCTCCAAAAGCGAACCCGAGTGAGGATGAAAGCATTGACTTTCCCTTTTAGACATCTTCAGATTCAGGCAAACAAAGAAACATGCTCCTACATGCGTTGACATCACCACTACGTCTCTTTAGCATCACAGAAATACCAAATTATACTTTTCTACATACATGAGACATGTCTCAGCATTCAGCTAACCGCAAGTTAGAGATACTAGGATTCAGCTTACACAGATCCATCAAGGGGCCTATTTTGACCTGTCGGGAGGGACAGAGGGAGGCTCCTTATGATGACCCCCCAAGTAGCAGAATCTCCCGCCTTCAAGTTGGTTTGAACCGCAGCAGGGAGTTCCGCAGTTCCGGAGAGCAAAGTTGGGTCCGACTGATGAAATGTGCCCCAGCCAGCAGCTCAAAGCCAAGGACTGCATGAAGCCTTTCTTTCACTTTCCCCTCTCCCTCTCTTTGTAACAAATCCCTTAATAAAACACTTGAGTTTTGAAACTTTAAATCCTTTCCGCTTGATACTTTGTGTCCTTTTCCTGACTGCAACTTTTCAAACTCACAATAAACCTTTTTCTGAGCTCCGGGGAACCGTGAGCTCACTGGGGACGCCTTCCTGGCCTCCCCAGGCCTCCGAATTTGCGTTAGTTCAAATCGCGGATACGGAGATTTTCCCATTGGCCCCCCTTATCCGCCAAAACAACAACATGGCGGATCGGGCCCGTTCAAATTTTATATTTTTCTACATTAACTTCTAAGACTAACTGCTATCTTGGTTTTCTCACTTTGGACTCCTGCACTCGTGAAATAATTATTTTTGTTTAATCATTAAATTCGGCCGAGTCACCAGCTGATTGTCAAAATTTCGCCGGCTTTTGCCGCTTGCTTCATTCCGCTCGCTGCGGCTCGCTCCAGCATGGTTCCAGCCACCTGCGATCCACCGCCGTCGCCCAAGGGAAAGCCTTGGAAGTGGGGGATCGGGCAGGGAGGCCCGATCCCCGGTTGGGAGCGCTAGTTCCACCAAGGACGGGACAGTGGAACGTAGCTCCCCCTTCAGCTCCAGCTCCTGTTTCATAAAATGAACATGAAATATGTATCCCTATGAACTCCCCTGTATCTTCACCTCCTTGACCCCTTACCCCATAAAACCGGCGTGACCAGGAACTGCCTGGGGAAAGAGCCCAAGCCTCTTTTCCCTAAATCACCCTTTGATTGACCCATCTTGCATGGACAATGCTGCTGGCCCCCGATTTCGTCATCGGAGCAAGACCAACGAAGGAGGGTTTGGTCAGCAGAGCCCCGGAAAGAAAGGACTGATTAAATCACCCAGATACTGTTGATCCTCCGGGCGGTCCGGTATCGATCCAGCTATTCAAATTCCTTGCCAGACTCATCAAGAACAGGAAAGCCCTTTGTTTGCCAAACATCACCCTCTTCCCGCCTTGGACAATAGCCCGCATTCCAGCGGGCAGGGAAGCCCAAATCCCATCATCTTTCCCCTTTGTTCCTCGGCCGTCCCGCCTCCTCGTTCCTGATTGGACAGAACCCAGGAAGCGAGCGGAGGGCGCCCATTGGCCCTCCTGAGGCGGGGGAACGCTCCCATTGGCTCCTGGCGGAGGCGGGCTGTCAAACCTCCTCCCAGCTGTTCCAGCCTCAGCCAATCAGCGTGAAGCCGGCCGGCAAGGGGCGGCGGGAGTTTCAAACTGCTTTCCTTTATTCTGACTGTATAAAAATGCCTGAAAACCTTCGTGCTGTATGCTTGCAGTGGAACGATTCCTGTAACGCATCCATTCAGCTGAATCGCAAATAAACGCCTCGGTCGCTGGACTCCTTTCGCCTCTGGTGAGCTTATTTGATTTTAATTATTTTTGGCGCTCTTGGATTGGCTTCCGGAAAAATCTCACCAAGGTATCCAGGACTCTCTTTGGTGCGGTCCTTGGGCTCTCCCCCCTGGAGGGGCCCCCAAAAAGAGCTCGATATCATTTGCCGACCACGAAGGGACCCTGTTTGAAGGCCCCGATTCAATTATAGCCCAAATTTTCAAGCAGGCACCTTGGTCTGATTCTTTAGGCCAGAGTGAAGGAGGAGCGGCTTGGGAATTGAGGCGCCTCTTCTTGATTCGGACCTTATTTGACCAGCTGATCAAAAACTACAAATTCTCCTGCAGCCACTTCCTTCCAAGCTCTGACCTGGAGTTTCAGCACAAAGGAGCATAGGGAAGTCTTGATCCAAGGACTTCCAGGAAGGAGCACGACCGACGCGGACTGGGGAAGATGTCTGAAGGGTAAGCAACCGGGGTCCTCCAAGACGGCCAGGTGGAGGGCCCCCCAAAAAGAGCTCGATATCACTTACTTCTAGAAGTAAGAAGGTACGGTCTGTACTAAACTGTACCAGGATGTATAGATGACAGCCCCCCCCCCTTCTCCTGCCCCTTCAGCATCTTTTGTCCTGTCAACTTCCTAATACAGAGAGGACCTGATTTTTCTTACATTTCAGAGCTTCTAATGGATTTTCATGATTTCCTGGCTTGGGAAACAGCCAGAGGGATTGGCCCAACCTTCCTGTTCCCAGGGGTTATGTTGACTGTTTCCGAGTTACATTTTGATACAGTTCATAGAGGTTTACACAGTATATGTGTATATATACAGATACAGTACACGGAAAGTTACACAGAATGCAGATTAACAGGTTGGAAACAATAATGTCTTCGAGGGGGCGGAGTTGCCGTCGGTCCTTTCCTGATTTCCAATGCTTCAAAAGAGCAAAATTTTGGAAAACTATTTGTTAAAAAAATATTAAAAATAATATATTTATTTCTGCGCCCTTGGAAGCGTGTAGGGGGAAACACCGGGCGGGGGGGGGGGAGCCCCATGCGGGCCTAACACGCTAAGGGCTGGTCCCCTCCATGGAGGGGGGAGGAGGGGGCGCCGGGGGGGCCGGGGGGATGTGGTGGGTGTCGTAGCGGCTGCTCTGGAAGGAGGAGGGCTCGGGGTCCGGGTGCTGTTCCTCCGAGGCGTTGTCCGTGGGGCCGTGCCTCCAGGCCTTGAAACTGCGCCAAAGAGAGAAGCGGCATTAGGACCCCAGGCTTGGAAGAGACCCCCAGAGACCATCCAGTCCACCCCCTTCTGCCCTTTTCCCAGAAGATTGTTATTCCTTCCAGGTGAAGAGGTCTGACCATAGCGGCCTGACCTGTCCCGCCATCTAGACCTTAGACTCCAATGGACGCAGCCTTGAATCACATTGGCTTTCTTAGCTGCCGCATCACAGCCTTGGCTCCCGTTCTGCCTGCGGCTGTGGGTTCGAGGCCCTGTCTCTTACCATTCGTAGACCACGGTGCTAAGGAGGCCGATGGTGACGACCCCGCAGAGGGAAGAGAGGATGACGGTAATGACAATCATGTCTCCTTCACGCCGTCCTGGCCACGTGTCGATCTTGTCCCACTGCATCGCTGAAAGGGATAATAGAGGGTGTGCTCACCTCTTTGCATTTTCCAACTGTCTTGCCTCCTCTTCATTGTGACTGGTGTGGAATATCACATTCATCTCTAGAGATTAATAGCTAATCCTTTCTATCTCTCGACCGCCCCCTTGTGGCTGCATCTGAGCACCACAAACATTCATCCCTAGAGGCGAATAGCTAATCCTTTCTATCTCTCGACCGCCCCCTTATGGATGCACCTGAGCACTGCATACATTCATCCCTAGAGGTGAATAGCTAATCCTTTCTATCTCTCGACCGCCCCCTTGTGGATGCACCTGATCACTGCATACATTCATCCCTAGAGGTGAATAGCTAATCCTTTCTATCTCTCGACCACCCCCTTATGGATGCACCTGAGCACTGCATACATTCATCCCTAGAGGTGAATAGCTAATCCTTTCTATCTCTCGACCACCCCCTTGTGGATGCACCTGAGCACTGCATACATTCATCCCTAGAGGTGAATAGCTAATCCTTTCTACCTCTTGACCGCCCCCTTGTGGATGCATCTGAGCACTGCATACATTCATCCCTAGAGATTAATAGCTAATCCTTTCTACCTCTTGACCGCCCCCTTGTGGATGCATCTGAGCACTGCATACATTCATCCCTAGAGGCGAATAGCTAATCCTTTCTATCTCTCGACCGCCCCCTTGTGGATGCACCTGAGCACCACATGCATTCATCCCAAGAGGCTAATCCTTTCCCTCCAACGTACGTTTCTCCAGCGTGATGGGGGCCGACCACCGGGTTTCCGCGACGGCTCCATTGGTGTCCATGGCCAGGAATTTCACCCTGGAGGGGAGACAAGAAGGCAGAGAGCGGAGCGAGTCAGGCCGGGCTTCCTCCTGCGGCCCTGGAGACGGGGACTCAATGGGGCCTGTGGATGGCATCGTCAGAAGCTCTGTTGGCCATGAGACAAGTGGCGTGTGTGCGTCTATATCCCTGTGGAATAATGTCCAGGGTGGGAGGAAGAAAGGACCCTTGTCTGTTTGAGGCAAGTGTGAATGTTGCAATTAGCAAGCTTAAGTAGCCATGAAGTTTGCAGAGCCAATCAGTAAGGGTGTATCTGCATAGAGGCAGCCTGGCTGTTGTTGCCTGGAGGCACCCTCTGCTTGGGAGGTGTTAACCAGCACTGAAGTTGTTTTGTTGGAGGCTTTCATGGTTGGTGTGAGTTTTTTGGGCTGTATGGGCATGTTCCAGAAGCATTCTCTGCTAATGTTTTGCCTGCATCTGTGGCTAATGGCATCCTCAGTCTATCTATCTATGTATCTATCTTTCTATATCTCTGTGGAGTAATGTCCAGGGTGGGAGAAGGGCCCCTTACCGGAAGGGCCCCGAGGAGGGCAAGGGCCCGTTGCAGTGGGTGCGGCTGTCGTCGTTCTTGCAGCTGGACTCGTTCCCGACCCGGAGGACGCTGGTGGTGCGCTCTTTCTGGCAGGGGAAGCTGTCCAGCGTGGCCCGCATGGTCATGTAGGCGTAGGTGTTGTAGAGCTCCTCGTAAGGCGGGACGTCCTTTGGCGTGGCCGGGTTCTTGAACTTGGAAGTGGCTGCGCGACCGAGAGAGAGAGGGAAGGGGGCTCAGCAACAAGGACAACGGAGGGAAGGAAGGAAGGAAGGAAAGAAGGAAAGACAATGGAGGGAGGGAGGAAAGAAGGAGGGAAAGAAGGAAGGAAAGAAATGAAAAGGAAGGAAGGAAAGAAGGAAGGAAGGAAGGAAGGAAGGAAGGAAGGAAGGAAGGAAGGAAGGAAGGAAGGAGAAAAAGAAGAGAAGAAAGGAAAAAGAAAGAAAGAAAGAAATAGGAAAGAAGGAAGGAAAGCAAGAAAGGAAACAAGGAAGGAAGGAGAAAATGAAAGAGGAAGGAAAGGAAAAGAAAGAAGAAAAGGAAAAGAAGGAAGGAGAAAGGGGAAGGAAGGAAGAAAGAAGAGAAGGGAAGGAAGAGAAGGAAGGAGGAAGGAGGAGGAGGAAAAGGAGAAGAAGAGGAAGAAGAAAAAGGAATCAGGAAGGAAGGAGAAAGAAGGAAACAAGGAAGGAAGGAGAAAAAAGGAGAAGAGAAGGAAGGGGAAAAAAGAAATAGGAAAGAAGGATGGAAGAAGAAAGAAAGGAGGGAGAAGAAGGCCCAAGGAGAGGGCACCAGGGGAGAAGGTGACAGGGGAATCGGGGCAGGAGGAGCCGTTGGGGTTCTCCTCACTCACCGTTGAGGAAGGTGACCACCAGCCAGATGTGGTCGGTGGCGTTGATGAACTGGTCGAAGACGCACCTGGGGGGCTCCAAGGCGAAGGTGCTGGCCGTGATCTTCCCGGCCATGGGCTGGTCCGTGACCCGCGGCGTGTAGGAGATGACCTCTGGAAAGGAAGCCCTGGTGAGAGCCCGGTCCCATCGCAAGACGTGGCCCCACAACAGGCCAGGCGGGCAAGCGCCATGTTCACCTGGAGGATGCTACTAGGACTATGAGGGAGGGTGGCCATCAAGGTGGCCAACTGAAGCATTCACACTTGCCTCAGGCAAACAAGAGTTCTTTCTCCCACCCTGGACGTTATTCCACAGGGATCTTAAACTCACAGCAACCAAGTCAATGTATTCTTCTTTCTTGCTTTCCTCCTTTTGGGAGGGAAATAATATCATATACAGGGCGGTTTGCCCACTCTGTCCACAGGATGGCAGCACAGAGGCGCCTCCACAGCTCAAGGGCGCAGTTCCCCATTTGGCCACGTGAGGGCAGCAAAGAACTGCAGGTCAGACTCTCAAGGCAAGTGCAATATTCCTGTGTCCACAAGAGGGCAGCAAAGGGCTTCACCTGAGAGATCAATCAGCCTTTGCTGCCCTCCTATGGACACAAGAATATTGCACTTATACTGTATATAATAATAATAATAATAATAATAATAATAATAATAATAATAATAATAATAATAATAATAATAACAACACTTTATTTATATTCCGCCCTTCTCACCCCGAAGGGGACTCAGGGCAAAATATACATGTGTAAGTCTAGCAATATGAGTCAAAGATTAATATATGTTTAGAAATACGATCCACATATCTACCATATATATTACATTCATATATATTCATGTATAAGTTTTTTGATTTACCATATACTGTATATACTCGAGTATAAGCCTAGTTTTTCAGTCCTTTTTTTAGGCTAAAAAAGTCTCCCCCGGCTTATACTCGAGTCAAGGTTATTTATTATTTCACTTTGTTGTTGTTGTTGTTATTATTATTATTAAATTTATTATTTTATTTTTGTTACTATTACATTTATTATTTTACTCTATTATTATTATTATTGTTACATTTATTATTTTACTGTATTGTTATTATGTTTATTATTTTACTCTATTATTATTATTTACTCTATTTATTATTATTGGAGGACATGTAAGCGTATTTACATAGAAAAAGGTTAGAATAATGGTTTAATCAGAGTTGGACAGTCTTATCTTGAATTACAGTTTTATGTAAATCAAAAACATTTAACCTACTGATGCCTCAATTAATATAATATTACTGCTATCTATTTTTATTTTGAAATTGACCCATAAATGCTGCATTTCCCACCCTCGGCTTACGCTCGAGTCAATCCATTTTCCCAGTTTTTTGTGGCAAAATGAGGTAACTCGGCTTATATTCGGGTCGGCTTATACTCGAGTATATACGGTATATTCATTTAAAAGTCTAGAAATACAATCCAAACATCTACCATATATGTACATGTATATCTGGAAATATTATTTGAAAATCTACCGTATATATTCATGTATAAGTCTCGAAATACAATTCGAAAAATCTACGTTATATATTCATGCATGACTCTAGAAATATGAGTCAAAGATTCATGTATAAGTCTAGAAATACGATTCACAAGTCTACCCAAAATATTAATGCAGAAGTCTAGCCAGGTGAGCGCAAACATCATCTCCCGCCTGCATTCGTACCTAAGTCGGCAGTTTGTGCCGCGGTCCGGCTGGCGACTCCCAGCAAGAGAAGCAGAAGAGGGACGGCCATCCTGGAGGGAAGCGGGCTTCGGGCGCAAGAGCGAGGAGAGCGCCCGGCACCCGCCCTTTTATCCCCTTGGCCGCGCGCATTCCTCCTCTCCTGCGTCACCCGGATCCTCACCCTGATAGAACAAACCCGCTTGGCTCGCTTTGGGCAAACAACACAACACCCCCCCCCAAACCCCCCCCCCCCCACACACGGTATTTTAGGTATTTATTTTTCACATCGTATTTCTTCACGTTTGCAAAAAAATATGCAGCGTATTTGTGCAGGTATTGTGGGAAAGGTATTGGGAAACGGCTGCTTTTGCGAGTTTGCTTTTGCCAAGATGGATAGAGAGATGGATTGGTCTCCATCATATTTTTAATAGATGCATTTTGTAGAAAAATGTGTATTTTCAGCAGTGTCAGGAATAACATTATCATTATGCTATTAGTAACATTATGTTGTTGTTGTTATTATTGACATGATCATTAACATTATTATTATTATATTCATACTAAAAGGAAACTCATCCACCCCTCCTGCCGAACAAAGGCCTTTCCAAGCCACTTCAACAACCCTGGCGAGTTTTCCGGGCTGTATGAAGAAGAGGCTGGGTGGCCATCTGTCGGGAGGGATCGTGTGGTGTCTTCCTTTATGGCCGAAACGGGGTCAGGCTGGATGGCTTTTGAGATACTTTCCAACTCTAAGACTCAATAATAATAATAATAATAATAAAAAATCACACAGTCCTAGGCACTTGGGAAGTGTTTGACTTGTGATTTTGTGACACGAAATCCAGCATAGAGGTCTCGTTTGCTGGGACATACTGTGCTTTTGTGTCAATAATAATAATAATAATAGATAATAATAGTAGTAGTAATTCTATCTTCTTGCCTTGGAAAAGGGGGTTGGACTGGATGGCCCTTGGGAGTCCCAACTCTATGAGTCTAATAATAATAGTAGTAGTAGTAATAATGATGATGATGATGATGATGATGATGATGATGACCTTTGTGGTCTCTTTCATCTCTAGGGTGACAACAACAACAACAGATAGTAGTAGTAGTAGTAGTAGTAGTAGTAGTAGTAGTAGTAATTCTATCTTCTTGCTTGGGAAAAGGGGGTTGGACTGGATGGCCCCTGGGAGTCCCTTCCAACTCTATGAGAATAATAATAATAATAATAATAATAATAATAATAATAATAATAATAATAACAACCTTTGGGTCTCTTCCATCTCTAGGGCAACAACAACAACAACAACAACAATAACAGATAATAATCGTAGTAGTAGTAGTAGTAGTAATTCTATTGCAGCCCTCAGTGGCATTAAAGCGCTGAGCTGCTGAGCTTATTGACCGAAAGGTTTCAGGTTCGAATCCGGGGAGTGGCATGAGCTTCTGCTGTTAGCCCCAGCTCCTGCCAACCTAGCAGTTCGAAAACATGCAAATGTGAGTAGATCAATAGGTACCACTCCGGCGGGAAGGCAATGGTGTCCATGCAGTCATGCTGACCACATCACCTTAGAGGTGTCTACGGACAACGCTGGCTCTTCGGCTTAGAAATGGAGACGAGCACCAAAGTCCCAGAGTCGGACACAACTGGACTTCATGTCAGGGGGAAAACTTTACCTGTAGCTTTAGTAATTCTATCTTCCTGCCTGGCAGGAAAGGGGTGGACTGGGTGGCCCTTGGGGTCCCATCTCTATGATGATGATGATGATGATTATTATTATTATGATGATTATTATTATTATTCTATCTTCCTGCCTGGCAGAAGGGGGTTGGACTGGATGGCCTCTGGGGTCCCTCCCATCTCTATTAGTCTAATAATATAATGATGATGATGATGTTGATAATAATAATCATAGATAATAATGGATATTTATTTATGTATTTACAACATTGATAGGCCGCCCTTCTCACCCCAAAGAGGACTCAGAGCGGCTTACAAGGAATATGTAAATGCAATATATTATATTATTACCATAGCACAATATTAGTATTATATATTACTACATAGTGTAATAGTGTAATAGTAATTCTATCTTCCTGTCTTGCAGAAGGGGGTGGACTGGGTGGCCTCTGGGGGTCCCTTCCAGGCCCAGCAGGGACTGGGGCGTACTGGGAGAAGCGAGAAGGAACTGGAAAATATTGCAAGGCTGGGACCCGCAGCACAGGTTCCGACGGGGAATGCGGCCCAGCTGGTCCGGCCAGGCGAGCGGGTCGGTGGAAAGGGAAAGAAAGGCTTATCTCCCAAATAAGAAGGCCTCAAAGGGTCAAAACCGGACCCACCGCGTTCCATTGGAGGGAACACAAAGAGACCACGCGTCTACTATTCGTATTATAATGTATTATAATGTATTATTATTATTATTATTATTATTATTATTATTATTATTATTATTATACTATTGTTATGTTTATTTACACACAAAGAGTTGTTGAAGGCTTTCCTGGTTGGTATCAATGGCTTGCGGTGAGTTTTCCAGGCTGTCTGGCCAGAAGCATTCTCTCCTGACGTTTCACCCACATCTATGGCTAAAGGCATCCCCAGAGGTTGTGAGGAAAGTAAGCAAGTGGGGTTTATATATATTCCTGTGGAATGATGTCCAGGGTGGAAGAAAGAACTCTTGTCTGTTAAAATGTTGCTATTGGCCAGGCTGTCTGGCCAGAAGCATTCTCTCCTGACATTTCACCCACATCTATGGCATCCCCAGAGGTTGTGAGGTCGGTTGAAAGTAAGCAAGTGGGGTTTATATATATCCCTGCGGAATGATGTCCAGGGTGGGAGAAAGAACTCTTGTCTGTGAATGTTGCTATTGGCCAGGCTGTCTGGCCAGAAGCATTCTCTCCTGACATTTCACCCACATCTATGGCTTCCCCAGAGGTTGTGAGGTCGGTTGAAAGTAAGCAAGTGGGGTTTATATATATCCCTGCGGAATGATGTCCAGGGTGGGAGAAAGAACTCTTGTCTGTGAATGTTGCTATTGGCCAGGCTGTCTGGCCAGAAGCATTCTCTCCTGACATTTCACCCACATCTATGGCTTCCCCAGAGGTTGTGAGGTGGGTTGAAAGTAAGCAAGTGGGGTTTATATATATCCCTGCGGAATGATGTCCAGGGTGGGAGAAAGAACTCTTGTCTGTGAATGTTGCTATTGGCCAGGCTGTCTGGCCAGAAGCATTCTCTCCTGACATTTCACCCACATCTATGGCTTCCCCAGAGGTTGTGAGGTGGGTTGAAAGTAAGCAAGTGGGGTTTATATATATCCCTGCGGAATGATGTCCAGGGTGGGAGAAAGAACTCTTGTCTGTGAATGTTGCTATTGGCCAGGCTGTCTGGCCAGAAGCATTCTCTCCTGACATTTCACCCACATCTATGGCTTCCCCAGAGGTTGTGAGGTGGGTTGAAAGTAAGCAAGTGGGGTTTATATATATCCCTGCGGAATGATGTCCAGGGTGGGAGAAAGAACTCTTGTCTGTGAATGTTGCTATTGGCCAGGCTGTCTGGCCAGAAGCATTCTCTCCTGACATTTCACCCACATCTATGGCTTCCCCAGAGGTTGTGAGGTGGGTTGAAAGTAAGCAAGTGGGGTTTATATATATCCCTGCGGAATGATGTCCAGGGTGGGAGAAAGAACTCTTGTCTGTGAATGTTGCTATTGGCCAGGCTGTCTGGCCAGAAGCATTCTCTCCTGACATTTCACCCACATCTATGGCTTCCCCAGAGGTTGTGAGGTCGGTTGAAAGTAAGCAAGTGGGGTTTATATATATCCCTGCGGAATGATGTCCAGGGTGGGAGAAAGAACTCTTGTCTGTGAATGTTGCTATTGGCCAGGCTGTCTGGCCAGAAGCATTCTCTCCTGACATTTCACCCACATCTATGGCTTCCCCAGAGGTTGTGAGGTCGGTTGAAAGTAAGCAAGTGGGGTTTATATATATCCCTGCGGAATGATGTCCAGGGTGGGAGAAAGAACTCTTGTCTGTGAATGTTGCTATTGGCCAGGCTGTCTGGCCAGAAGCATTCTCTCCTGACATTTCACCCACATCTATGGCTTCCCCAGAGGTTGTGAGGTCGGTTGAAAGTAAGCAAGTGGGGTTTATATATATCCCTGCGGAATGATGTCCAGGGTGGGAGAAAGAACTCTTGTCTGTGAATGTTGCTATTGGCCAGGCTGTCTGGCCAGAAGCATTCTCTCCTGACATTTCACCCACATCTATGGCTTCCCCAGAGGTTGTGAGGTCGGTTGAAAGTAAGCAAGTGGGGTTTATATATATCCCTGCGGAATGATGTCCAGGGTGGGAGAAAGAACTCTTGTCTGTGAATGTTGCTATTGGCCAGGCTGTCTGGCCAGAAGCATTCTCTCCTGACATTTCACCCACATCTATGGCTTCCCCAGAGGTTGTGAGGTGGGTTGAAAGTAAGCAAGTGGGGTTTATATATATCCCTGCGGAATGATGTCCAGGGTGGGAGAAAGAACTCTTGTCTGTGAATGTTGCTATTGGCCAGGCTGTCTGGCCAGAAGCATTCTCTCCTGACATTTCACCCACATCTATGGCTTCCCCAGAGGTTGTGAGGTCGGTTGAAAGTAAGCAAGTGGGGTTTATATATATCCCTGCGGAATGATGTCCAGGGTGGGAGAAAGAACTCTTGTCTGTGAATGTTGCTATTGGCCAGGCTGTCTGGCCAGAAGCATTCTCTCCTGACATTTCACCCACATCTATGGCTTCCCCAGAGGTTGTGAGGTCGGTTGAAAGTAAGCAAGTGGGGTTTATATATATCCCTGCGGAATGATGTCCAGGGTGGGAGAAAGAACTCTTGTCTGTGAATGTTGCTATTGGCCAGGCTGTCTGGCCAGAAGCATTCTCTCCTGACATTTCACCCACATCTATGGCTTCCCCAGAGGTTGTGAGGTCGGTTGAAAGTAAGCAAGTGGGGTTTATATATATCCCTGCGGAATGATGTCCAGGGTGGGAGAAAGAACTCTTGTCTGTGAATGTTGCTATTGGCCAGGCTGTCTGGCCAGAAGCATTCTCTCCTG